AAATAAACCCTAATAATCAATCATTTCATATCTTCATTTAGTATCTTCTTCCGTGTTTTATGGAGGAAACGCCTTGATTACATATACGCACTGCATTATTTGTTGTCAGTGAATGTTGAACGCAATTATATCCGTTTTTTTTTAATTTTAATTACATAACTATAGAGTGAATAAAAGCGATATGTTAAAAGTCGATCCTCGACGTATAATATGGTTTCTAGTCAATTGCTTGGCTATTTTTTATTCCTAGAACCATATCCTTAAATGTGATTAATATTTCATAAAATTCAGGAAGTATTCTAAGTTAAGAATACGCACTGGACTGTGTATATCAGTTCAAAATAATCATTCTAAAAATAAATCTAAAATATGCACGAGCTTTCCTTTCCTTTAAAGGAAAAAAAAACTTTTATCTTGACACAACACTGCATTAAAAATGACATGTTTGTCTGTTTATTAATATTTATACTTTATATTTCATGAATAAAATACATTTGAAACTTAACTATGAAATGAAATTTGTAGATACATTGTAATCTGGTTAATTTGACATTTCAGTCAGCGACAATTAATTACATGTAATTTCCAGTTAATAAGTATTTTTCACGTTTTTTTTCCACTGCATAATCAATGTTTTCGCAGATGTTGGAGCATTTCTCTACAGAGCCACAGTGTAAGAAGTTCTAGGCCTTACGTTTCGGATTTGAGTCTAACTAGTACTGCAGGACATCATTGACATTCTTGTTGACAATTCTCTCCATATTTTTGGTACATACACTTTAGAGAGAAGTTTGGGCCTGATATTCTGTTTGGCATTGGTTTTACGGAAGGAAGGCAACGTTAATGAAATACACGTACTATTGAGATATCATCGCCACACAAACGAAATGGATTTTAAAATGATAATGAAGCACAATATTAATTTTCTTTTTCAAAAAAGTTCTTTTTTGTGTTCTATTGCAAATTTGGCACCTCCTCGTTTTTATTTTTACAGATGTTTACTTTTTTTTCAAATACAATGTATACAAATTACCGTTAGTTTGTCAAAGTTGGAAGGGGATATAGGGTACAATTGTTGCCATAATGTTCCTAGACAACGTAATATGGGCTCTGGGGTGGTCCATTATTATCGGTTTTTATTAGGTCACCTGAGTAAACTCAGGTGACCTATTGCTATCTGTTTTCGTCCGTCGTCATCCGTCGTCCGTCGTGCGTTAACATTTGATCATTTTCAGCTTCTTCTCTGCAACCACTGAACCAATTTCAACCAAATTTGGCACAAAGCATCTATGGGTAAAGGGGAACAAAAATTGTGAATTTCATGATCCTTGCCCCCCTGGGGCCTGAGGGGTGGGGCCAAAACCACTAAAATTAATGCAATCTTTAAAAATCTTCTTCTTTACTCCTGGACATCAAGCAGTCAAACTGTTTGCATGATTGTAATTAGCAATGAGTCTTTTACCAAAATTGTGAAATTCATGGCCCTAGGGTCAGGGGTTCTAGTGCTAGGGCGGGGCTAAATAAGTAGGTAGTGAAAATGTATTATTTCTTTGAAAATCTTCTTCTCTGCTCCTGAGTATTAAATAAACCAACCAAGTACATAGTTATGATGAGCAAGAGTGCCTCTACCAAAATTGTGAATTTTATGGCCCCAGGGTCAGGGGTTCTGGTGTTAGGGTGGGGCTCTATTGATTATATATACATGTAGTGAAAATACATGATTTCTTTGAAAATCTTCTTCTCTTCTCCTGGGTATTAAATAAACTAACTAAGTACATAGTTATGATGAGCAAGAGTGCCTCTACCAAAATTGTGAATTTTATGGCCCCAGGGTCAGGGGTTCTTGTTGGGGGGGGGGGGGGGCTCTAATGATTGTATAGTGAAATGCATGAATTCTTTGAACATCTTATCCTTTGCTCCTGGTTAATATACTAATGATCTAATTACATATTTAAGGCCAGGATTTATTTTATTTTCAGTTTTACAAACCCTCCGCTCAAGGTTTTGAATTTTCAGAAAAAATAAATTTTTTTCTTTCCGATGTCAAATTTGAGTCGGGATCAAGATTTCAAATTGACGAACTCACACTTCCGGTTTTAAGATGAAACGGCGGGTAAATAAAGCTAGCTTGGTTTAGTGTGAAATTCTTCGATACGAGTGCCATTCAAAACGTTTCACCCGTTCAAAGGACAAATAAAATGCTGGCGACTTTGTTGCACAATGACATGCTGTTGGGATAGTTATGTATTCGTTTCAAAAGTATCTATCTGTAAATTATTTTCCTCCCCCAGGTTTTAAACTGCCCGTGGTAGCTATTGCCTATTGCTAGATAGAATGTTCTATCGTTAAAATGATATTGTCCTACGGACCCGTGTGGTGAGGGCCTGTCCCGAGACACAGTTAGATTATTCTAACTAGCATATTGCCAGCGACATTGTTTAGGACTCTGTTATAGCTTACAGTCTTATAAGCATCATTCTTCAGAAAAGGGTTGCTTATGCATCAGATGTAATGAATAAAACTATGGGAGAAGTTAAGTCCATTTGAGGAAGAAATAAACAATAACCTGAAGAAATAAAAAAAAATCAACTATTAAAAGGCAAGAATTATACAAATATATACAGGCATGTAGTATCATTTGTATCAGCCAGAAAAATTATTTTACACTTATTTGAAAAAAATGTTCACCCTACTTCCCAATTATCCCTGTCTGCTTTATGATAGGAATTATAATTTTAGGCATCAAATAAATTTAAAACAATGTCTACACATTTACCTAACACATATTAAAAAAAAATTTTATTCTCATGTTCATAACTAAACCTGAACATAAAAAAATGCTGGCCTTATAATGAAGAAAGGGGCCTCTTTCAAAATAAATAATTTCAGGGCTGCTGGGTCAGGGGTACCAGGGGGGTACTTTGACTAAAAATAAGTTAATGCTTTGAAATCTGTCCTTTGATAAGCAATGGTGCCTCCTTCAAAATTTGTGAATTTCATGGCATTTGGATTAAAACATGAACCAAATACAATCGCTAGAAAGTTGTTACATGATACTCAGGTGACCTATAAGGCCCGTGGGCCTCTTGTTTACTGATAAGCTTAACATTTGTATCGCAAAATATACTGATATATATAGCTTCTGTATGTTTTTTTTAGAAAGCAATCCATCAATTGTAAATGTCAGCGCTTTCCGCAAAATTCCAAAAGGACGATTTGCAAATATGTAACATCGCGGTAGCAACATTGCATTGTAAACGACGCAATTACATTTTACTGACACGTTGTCACTTCGCGCAGGCGCCATTTCAAACGCGTTTAACTTTTGTGACAATGCGTCAGCGCAATTAAAGTGGTAACACCAACGCGCTGGCGCATTGTAACTTTACCCATGCACATCAAGTCAAAGTGTAAAGAATATATTTAAGGAACACTGTCTAGTTACATGTAGGAGGGTATGCCAGGGCATCAACAAAAGTGGGAAACATGGAATAGCCCGTTATGCTAAAATTATCCATGTTTCCCACTATTGTTGATGTCCCTGGCATACCCTCCTAACTAGACAGTGATTCCTTATATTTCCATTTTTATTTGAAATAACAATCTAAAAATAAATCGAAATACCGTCTAATTTAGATTTGAAATGCACGAGGCATTCCCTATTATTTTCCATTGCCCCGCCCCATGACGTCAAATTTTACTATAAAAAAAATAGTTTCATACCAACGCGAAACAAAGAACGAGGGCGCTTTTGATAGGCATTAGGCAGGAATCTGGGCGTACTTAAAAAGTGAAAATTTTATCGAGAGTTCACATGAAATTTTACCATTTTATTTATTTTTTGGGTTCATGTGCAACATGAAAGGAAAGTATTTATCCGAAATTGAGCTTTGATTTGCTAAAAAATAACTTGAAAATTGGCCAGATCAGACATTTGGTACAAAATGGTACATTTTTAAACACGTTTATCAAAACATTTAATATCTCTGGGTGTTCTCTCTGATATTTGAAACGTTATTTGTGTGTATTTTAATTTAAAGAAACGAATACACTTTTTTTTGAATGGAGAGAAGACCCAGAGACCACGAAAAATGAACTTTTCCCCAAAAAATCCAAATGTGTGAATGTGGTGTTTCTTTGTCCGTTTAAAATCATTTGTATATATGTGTAGCGGTGATAGCTCAGTAAGACTGGCTAACTGTTCAATGCACTTGAAGCGAAAAGTTTTTGGTTCGAGCCTGGCATGGGGTGTTCATTTTTTTTTTCCATGCAAACAACTATTTATTTTGTTAGTTTCGTTTAACGTACTTATGTATTAAAATTTTGAATTATAGATAAATTTCACTTCAGTTTGGTTCTCGAGCGAAATCAATTCCAATCTTTTATTCTATAATGTACATATATCATACATATATTCAATAAATAATTTAAGTATTTATTTTTGTTGAAACATTACTATGTTATAGTACCCCCTAGGAAAAACGGGCATAAATGGTACAATTTCACAATGTCTTTCAAACTAAATGACAAAAAAAAAAACCTATGGACGTGTTTGTAAAATCTGACCAGCTTTGTTCAGCCAACCAAATCATGGTCATTTAAAAGTATTAAATGTTTCGTACAAATGATTCCTGCAGAGCACTCGCCAAATGCACCCATCTACTTGAATGATTATTTAGTTATACTGCAGTCAAAAATCAACATTATAAAATAAGCAACAAAAGAATTTTATATTATGATCAAAGCAATCTTGCTAACTTTAATTATATATGTGACCTACGAGGGGTGATCAAAAAGTTCGCAAACTAATTGAATAACTTCCATACAAGAAACAAATTTGGTTTTAATGTTGATTATATTTTAAATTAATCCTCCCCGATTTTAATGCACATCAACCACCGTTCTGCGCATGCGCGAATCACGTGATATTGGCGGTCACGTGACCCCCTCCGTAGCGTTCTTTCACAAAAGTTAAAAGATTTTTCCGAGTTTTATATTTC